CCATCGCATAGACTTCTCAATKAATTAGAAGAAGAAGCTTTCTTCGTCTCCGAAAGCAATGGCCAAGACGAAGCTCCAATGACTGGTCTGATCTCAGAATCGACATTACAAGACCTGTTCCAAACMKGTTTCTTCTYTGCATTACCCTGAATCAAACCAGAGTTGTCTGATTTCTCTTTCTCCATGATCGTCCATGAAGCAGGCGAAATCCGAGTTCTTGAGCAAATTCAGAAGAGACRCAACAAAAAAAGAATTAAGGTTTCTTATATACTAAACTCTCTGATCAGCAGTATCTTAATAAAACCATCTATGATCAAAATACTAAAAACAAAACAAAAAAATATATATAAGCAGAGAAAGAAAACTAAGAATTGAGGAAATCTGAATGAGTTTCTGAGAAATTAGAAAGTTAAAGAAAGTAATGGAAAAAAAGAAAAAACTAACAAATTTCCCAGAAGATGGAAACGGAGACGAAGGAAGAGGCTCTTGATTTGATCTTCTTTTAAGGTTACGATTAAAGGTACAAAGACATGTGATTATCAGCAAGACTATCTCCCTTGGACTAAAGGAAACAAATAAACAGATTCATATTAAAAATTTATAAACACAARATATAAACAAATTTACATACGCAATAATATGGGTAACATGTGATTACCAACCTCAACGATGGTAGTACGATCTGTAATCAATAAAAAGAAAAAAAACGAAAACACGTATTAAGAAACATGGTTCAATAAGAAAGGTGACAATTATATAAAAAAAACTAAAACGAATGTTCAACCAACACAGAATCACTAACCTCAACAACGATGCGATCACCTGCAAAAAAATAAAACAGGGAAGGATACAAAATATAATCTAGGTCAAAACACGCCCGTAATACAACTTAAAAGAACACAACATTAATGAGAGACGATACGAAACATACCTCGTTAAGGTTACTTGCGGTTGGGGTGATAAATATTTATAAGAAGATCAGGGTAAAATCTAGGGTTTATTACTACCGACATTGACAAACGGGCTTCCAAACAATCAAAGAAAAATTTTAGATATAACCCATAAAATCAAAACGAAAGCCCGTTGGAATTTACGGGCCTATATAGGAAAAGACGTTAAAACCACATGAATATTTTATCAGCAATACAAAACAGAGGACAATTTCGTAAAATAACATTGATAGATCAAAATTTAATTAGCGAAAACATTGAGGATTTAAGTAAATAAATACGCCTAAGTACCCCTTTAAGAGCGATTGTGGAGTCGCCACATCAGCTTTTGCACTTCGCAAATAGTAGATAGAGATCTCAAAGATTTCTCAAAACCCCACCGTAAAGCGAAGCAAAAGTGGTTGATTTTTTTTTTTTTTGAGACTAAAAAGAGGTTGATTTATCCACTAGATTTTATTTATTTATTTAATCAATATGTTAAACACTTAACCTTAACATAATTCTCGGATGTTATAAAAAAATTACTGTTTCTACATTATGTTTTGACATAGAAAAACCATATTACATCATCATCGTTTCTGATGATACCACGACTGAAAGGAATGAATGGAAAAAWTAGCATGTCGTATGAAGGGAGAATTCAGATACGTTAAACTATGATGTGATATATAATTGAAAAGAGTTATTTTTTTTCTTTTTTATGATACTCAAAGAAATCCAACACAAAAATAAAATTTAGAGTTTCATGAATGCAAAATCCCAAGCGAGAGACTAGTCATAGTTAAATGCTAGCTCAAAAATCTGCTCATATTCATCCACAAAGTGAACATCGAGCCCTTCTTTCACATTTTGCGGTAGCTCATCAAAGTTCATCCAATTTCCAGCTGAAAATATGATCGTCTTGATCTGACTCCTCCTTGCAGCTAAAGTCTTCTCCATCACCTGACAAAGAGAGAGAGGTTTTGTGTATTAGTATTACGAACTTGATAGAATTTGGGTAAACCGAAAAGCTAAAACAGAGTAATTTTATTGTGTACACTTACGCCGCCAATTGGAAGAATTCTACCGTTTTGACTGATTGCTCCGGTCATTGCAAGATCCTTTTTTACAGGCTTATTCATGGCAAGTGATAGAAACGAAGTGATCATTGTGCAGCCTGCGCTTGGACCTTCTATTGATGAGGCTCCGGTTTGACCGTCATTTCCTATGACACCTGTAAGACCATGTAGATGAATCTTGAAATTCGCAAGGAACCGGTTCTTAGGTTGTTTCTTTAGCAAGAATTTTCTGGCGAATGTGTGAGCGAGCATCGCGCTTTCTTTTACCACATTCCCTAGCTGGCCAGTCATTACATATACGCCGCCTTTGCCTCTATCTTCTTCGAGAAAATTCGTCTCTATGTAAACTATTCTCTTTGTCGACAGACCCACTGCAACCCCAACCGGGGTTTGCTCATAAATTTTGTCGACATCAATCTTCTCATTGAGTTTTGTCGCAACGAAAACAGGTTTGCCAACATAATTCGCAAGGTTTGAATTGTCAATCGAAACCTTTCTAACCGTTTCAACAAGTGTTGTATCAGATTCATCTTCTCGTACTCGTTTAAGAGAAATCTATGCATAAAAAGAAAAATCAATCAATGATGTTTTGTGCACCTCATGTCTCCTACATTACTATGTATAGATTAGGTCACTTAGGATCCAAGTAATTAAAAATATTCCAAAGGGTTTCATTAACTTTTATGGGAAGTTACCTTGCGGTAAATCTTCTCAATCAGCCTCTGGAGATTCTTAACTCCTACTTCTCTGCAGTACTGTTCAATCAACGAACGAAGAGCCGCATCGCTCACATCAACCTGATAACACAGTAGATAAACAAACTAAGCAAAATCCATATATAGCACACATAATAGCAAGACATTCAATGCCGCAATCTCTGCATATAATAGAAAATGAAGACCTGTTTAGGCCTAATGCCGCAATTTCTGAGTGCGGTTTTCTCCAAATGGTCTCTGGCGATACGCATTTTCTCATCAAAGAGATACCCTGAGACAGTAATCACTTCCATTTTGTTTGCCAGAGAACTCCAAAACAGGTCTAAGGAATTTGCTGTGCATATAAATAAAACCTGTAATCAAAACTTGGATTAGACTCAAAATTGCAAATGAGAAGAAGAGAATAGTTGTTGAAAAAAGAAACCTTCGATAGGTCAATGGTAACGTTAAGATAGTGATCCAAAAAATCTGCATTCAACTCTGGATCAAGAAGCTCCAACAACGCATCGAGTGTTTCGCCAGGGGTGTTTCTTCCGAGCTATATATTAACCGAGGAACAATAAACAATTTTTGTAAGTAACTAATATATACACAATTGTTGAGTAATACAAACCAATCCAAATAGTATCAAACCTTATCAATCTCATCAATCAAAACAACAGGATTAAATGTTCCCATACTTTTTAGACATTGTACCATCTTTCCCGGGATGGCACTTACTATCCGAGAACTCCCCTGAAAACAATGTATAAAAGATTAGCATTTTATTCGTCTTCTTCTTCTTTTATCCTATCTAATTTAATCATTAATTATGCAATTATGTAGTTAACCAGACCTTAATGTGAGCAGCCATACATATCCCTGCTACATGGAGTTGATAGAAATTGCGATTAAGAGCACGCGCAATAGAACGCGCAATGCTAGTCTTACCAACCCCAGAAGGACCCACGATACAAATGGGCTTCCCTAGTTAACACAAAAATATACAAAGATAAGGACATATATAATTGTCTATATAAGATCAAGAATATGAGACCAACCTTGTGAAGTGGCACCAAGGCTTTTAGCAGCAATGAGTTCTAATACTCTTTCTTTTACACTAGATAAGCCATAATGATCCTCGTCAAGAATCTTTTCTGCACTCATGACATCACAATTCTCATCACTGCAAAAAAATAATAGAACACAAATTTCAGATGATTTTTTCTTAGATTCTTCTTTGTGTACATATAGGGCTAATCTTGAGCACAAGCGGACCAAGCATCGACTTGCGGCTTTCGAAAAACCAGAGAAAGATTTGCCTACAAATCAGCCCATATTTTTCAACGAAAGTATGGGAAACGACCATTTTTCTCTCTAGCGGTCTTCCAAAATTCACGGTGGCTCTACACGCACCATATATATTTATATGAATTTGAATCTAAATAAGCAAAACCTGTAAATTCCCCAGGGCAATGAGGTCAACCAGTCAAGGTAGTTACAAAGGATACTAGACTCATCAGACGTCATCACCACCAGTCTCTTAAGCTCTTCATTTATAACTTTCATTACATGTTCTGGAATGTTATCCTTATTACGGTTAACCCTCTCCCTAAACTCTTTCTGCATAGAAAACACACAAACACATAGAGATTATTGTTTTCGAATCATCTTATGATGATTTTTTTTGTTTTTAAACATTTTATCTTATTATAATGATGATATATACTAATTTATATTTGAAGATACTCTTACCACGACAGTACGTATAACAGGATTCATCATCAATTGGATCACTTGAAAGTATGTTGACCAAAATTTTGT